GCTAAAAATTTGGCAGAAAGTCTATAATTTTTTCGCAAAAAGTCGACTTTCTACGAGAAATTTGGCAGACATTGCGTCGGCTTTCTGCGAAAAATTTGGCAGACATAGCATCGACTTTCTGCAAGAAATTTCACAGAAAACATCTTTGGTTTAACTTTATTCCAGCAAATGCAGAAGCTTTCTGCTGAACTGAACTTTAAAAGTTTCCCAGAAAGTATTATCACAAATGATGCCAGAAAGTCTGAAATCTTTTTTTTAGGGGAGGGGGAGGGTATGGGTATGAATGAAGTGAATATCAACACCCACACCCACACCCACACCCACCCACCCACACCCACACCCACCCACCCACACCCACACCCACACCCACACTCACACTCACACCCACCCACACCACATCCACACCGCGCACCCCACCCATACCCACCTACACCCACCCACACCCACGCCCTTTATTATTTTTCGTAACATTTTTTGATCTGCATAGTTTATATATATGATTTGTTTGCGCATACTTTTCGTAAATAGAGTTTTAGACTTTGTAAAAAAATCCGACAGTAGGTGTCTTTTGCTAGCTTTTTGTGTATTAACTAGTAATTGAAGGCCATGTAACTGCGAACTAAGGAGATTGGTCATAATCGTACATTTCAAGATATTTACAGTTTGTCATGGGCCCACACTACAAAATTTCATCAACACTTAGTTTTCTTTTTTCGTCATGGTTGGATGGAACACGACTGTTTACATAAGGAGAAACAATATCACATATATTCAAAAGCAATTTGACAGTAATTAGAATCTTTTATTTATTACCCTTATAATTAAAAAAATGTTGTCCTTGACTTCGTAGAATTTGCATTTTAATATGCATGATATTGTTTTTTCTTATGTAAATGGTCGTGCTCCATCCAACCATGACGAAAAAAAAACTGACTGTTGATGAAATTTCGTAGTGTTGGCCCATGGCAAACTGTAAATATCTTGAAACTCGAATATCTCAGCCTGTCTACGCTATTGACAGCTTATATTTTTAATTAGTTGGTTTGATAGTGAGAGCATTCATTTGATCCGACTATGATCAATCTCCTTAGTTTACAGTACACGATCTTTCACTATAAGCTATATAATGTTTGTGTCGTCTTTCTTTACTATGAAATACTTTTGGAAATAAAGTATGAGTCGATAAACAAAAAAGTGAAGCATTTTGTGCAAGTATGTCAATATGATAGCCCTTGGTTTGCAAGAAGTTACTCTTTCTGATTAGTTTCCGATTTAGAAGAAAAATTCTGATTTTTTCTGGTTTTGAAAACAAGAATTTCTGATTTTCAAGTTTTTCTTCTGGCAACCCTGGTTAAAATGCCAGAAAGCGATTCTTTCCTTCTTTTTTTCTTAATTGTTCGCAGAAAGAACAAGTCAAAAGTGCATGTGTGATTCAGACGGAACAAAAAAAAATAGAGTTACTATCTAATTCATAAATAAAAGAACCATTCTGAAAAAGTAAAATTTCAATGGGCAAATTTCCAAATGAAATGAGTAATTGACCATTTGCCTCTCCCTTGGCTACGATGCTGTCACCATCTAACATAGAACACGCGAGAGAAAGAAAAATACACGATATTTTTATTTTTTTATGTTGTTTACTTTTCTAAAACAAACATATTCTTTGAATTGTATCACTTCCCCTAACATTCCATTTGTCTATTTTACATTCATAAGATGTATTATGTTTTTATCCAAAATATATTTGCACAGAGTATGAAATAAACAGTAAACAAAAATATCTTTTCGTGATCAATGGCGTGAAGTAAAATGTTAATGTGATGATGGGATTTCAATAGATGCAACTCTTAGACAATATACTGTTTTGTAAGAAGGATCATTTTTAAAAAAGCCGAGTCAAATTCTATTTCTTTTAAGGTATAATCAAAAATAATTAGGTCGTATTGCATCATGTTTATTTCGTCTTCTATCATCTGATCCCACATGTATCACTAGTCATATTCTTGCTGCTGGTCTCGACTTATTATTAAGGATATGGTGTCCATTCAACTGAAAGCAAATGTGCGAAACGCACAATAGCGAAAGCACATTTCAGCAAATATTTTACCCTTGACCAAGTTCGATTGTTTGTTTAACTGTGAATCATCGTGGTGGGTGTTTAAATAAAGAGTAGCTCTTGCTCCTTCTGCTTTTTTGACCTACTAATTTATTTTATCTTGTTTTCGATTTATATTTGTCCGTATGTGATACTAGCTCGTTAAGGCATATATCGTTCATTTTATTCATTTAACTGATCAAGCATAGCTGATTTTAACAGCACTTTCTTTTGCCAATTCGAATCGAGGGAAACCTTTGCTCATTTATTCAGAATGTATTTATCGACTTGGGCGTGGGTGTGAGGACGGGTAAAAAGAAGATCCGCACCCATACTCAGAACTTAATTCGACTGATTACATCAGCATATGGTTGCATTGAACTTTGAAAACTGATTAGAAAAGTTCCTTAATATCTAAAAGGATTTCTTTGTCACAAGGGAGAGCACAGCAAATAACTAAATGCTAGCATTTCTTTTCCATTTATTTATGAACCAATTTCTGAACATTATTTAGAAATTCTTCAAGTGACATTTGTCCGTCGTGATCATCATCAAACATTTGAACAATATGGCCAAAACTACATTCAGGTATGCGTTGACGAGCTAAAGTAATACCTTGATGTGCTTCTTGTGGCGATATAAAACCATCCTTATTAGTATCGACCTCGTTGAATGCTTGTTTAAGCTCTATAATGACCAGAGGATTCTTGTATGTATGTGTTTCGGCTTGCATAAACTGTTTAAATTGTTCAAATGTAATCCATCCTGTATTATTACTCAATTCGGTAATATAAGTGTCAATTGTTGTACTACGAAAATTCTGAAGAAACTCATCAGCAAAGACCAAGTTGCGAAATTCGGTCAAGGATATTTTACCCGTCTTATCTAAATATACAGACCGTCATCATTTAATGTACTTATTCAAGTAAATAACGAAAAATGAGGCATTTTTTGAAAAATCACTGCATGTGATCAACACTCTTTTGAGAAAAAAGAACTAAAACAAACCTTTGTCAATTTTGTCAAATTTTTCTTGGAGATATTCGTCGTCGGATATCCGTGGTACTGTCATCGATTATTGCTTTAGTCGAAAATGATGTATGTTGGTAGACTAAAAGGAAGAAAAGAAGGCCTTCTATATGATCGACATATTAAACCAACAAGGAGAAATGAACGAAAAAAAACCAGGCAATTATATGATAACATTTTTTTCGTTTGCATCGTATTGCACCGATTTTTATTGACTCTATCGAAATGTCTACACAGAACAGAAGAGAAAAAAAATTCAAGCAACCAAACTACGCCCACTCGGTGCATATGGAATATGTTATGTTTGTCTTCAATCTTGACTCGATTCCGTTGCACGTTTCTCTTGCGATGGATACATTTTCAACTTGTAGATACGTGGTAATAATGGGGACCAAAATTGTTCGTCTATAACTTCAGACTGTGTGGCTATCGTATCATATTTAAAAGAGTGTGGGTGTAGGGTGTGGTGGGTGTGGGTGTGAGTATGTGTGAGTGTGGGTGTGTGAGTGTGGGTGTGTGGGTGTGGGTGTGGGTGGGTGTGAATGAAGCGAATATCAACACCCACACCCACGCCCACGCCCACGCCCACACAAACACCCACACACCCATACCAACACACCCACACACTCACACACCCACATCCACACCCACACCCACACCCACACCCACACCCACATTCGCACCCACACTAACACCCACATACCCACACACCCACACCCACACTCCACACCCACACCCACACACCGACACCCGCACACCCACACGCCGACACTCACACACCCACACACCCACACCCTTTTCAGTGCTCCTTCAGAATTCAAATAATACTGTATTAATAATTGAGAAAAGTAGGCTTTAAGAAGAACTTTCAAAATTTGAATATCCACTAAAAGTGGTCTTTGATGGAGAAAAACGAAAAACACAAAGTGTCTTGAAATTTTGTCCCCTACTTTGTATTAAAAAAATTTCCAAATTAAAAAATGCTTAAATTAGAATCTGTACTTCATCACCAGAATTGTCTTAACTGTTTGAGTATCCACAAATGTGGATACGATTTAGGAATTGATTCAGGGATCCGCAGTTTGTGGTAAATGGTACACATTCAGAGAATGAGGGTTCACAAGGTTGACTCTGAGGTACTTCTCCCCATATTTAGGAGAGTATGTACTTCATGCAGTGAAGTAAAGGAAAAGTTTAACCGATCAAGCTGAAATTTTCAGAGATAACTGCTAACGTCCTGTTGAGCATTTACTGAAAGTTTCACATAAATCTACCTTCACCTTCTAGTTGGACCGAAATGTCCCTAAAACGTTCCCCGTCTCATCTCTATGTTTGCGAAATATTAGGAATGGATAGATGTCGACAATCACTATTGCGTAGAGACTACAAGACGTATGTAATCGATTTGGTCTTAATTCGCAGAAAGAAGAACAGCTGAAGTGCAACTGATTCACTTCTATACTTTCTCTCCTTTAGAGACTGTTCTTTTCGTTAATAAATTAGAGTGTGTTTGTTCAATCTTTATTTCAATTGATGTCTCATATCTGCCTCGTCTGCAGCGACCGAGCACTCGTTCAGTTCTGGCGGTATAATTATCAATCATGGACGGTCAAATCTCAATCCATCAACCATCCATGATATAACTATGGTTCAGTCGGCTTTCTCTCATTCAACGGATAGACTTAAGATGTTATTGGTTGTAACTGTATGATGATAATTCATTTGAGATCGATTCTTTTAATTTAAATGCTAGATAAAATATATTAGTAGAAGAAATATTTCACATAGATTGGTGAGGATATATCCGATGAATCGTGTGCAAAAGAATATCTCTTAATTTCGACAACGCATGTCGGTAAGGCATGCATAATACAGAAAGTTTTTTGAACTCCATCACGGGACTCGGCGGGGTACGGGACTCAATTGATACGGAGCGGGAAGGGACAGGGAAATAATCTTATAAACCAATAGGGCCGACGTGGCGCGGGGCAAGAAGGTTTACGGGGCGGGCTCCGCGGGAGACAAAACACCATGCTCTGTGCGTCTGTGTTATCTACAACCAAAGATATTTTCGAAAGAATATATTATACGGGAATAAAAGCGAAAGAGTAGTTGACAAATAAAGTCGAAGCTGGAAGATCTATTTGTTCCGTACCTTTTGAGTCTGACCTAACGATACTTGATGACAACATTAGAGAACATATGCGTGAATCTTACAACCGTTATATTACTCTCGTTGGAAAAAACAATTCTTTGTTTTCTTCCCAGTGACAAATGAATCGACTTCAAGCTTGAGAAAGTTTTTTATTAGTTCGAACTGAGAGAAAAATGACGTCATTTTCTTTCGTATCTATAGAACAATATTGACAAGGAAAGCAGTTACAGCATTCTCTTACTCTCGTGGTATACAACGCCTGTATTGTTTATACCCAGTCACTCATTGATATATTTACCATAAAAAAATATTGAATATCTCCAATCTACTTTGATCAGTGAGACTAATGTGGTTTTTTCCTAAATAATACAAGAGTGTTTCAAGATTTTTTAAAACTTAGGATCAAAATGTTTTCTCAAGAGTTCTGTACCAATTTTAAATGTTAGTGAATAAGGAAAACAAGAGCAATACCATAGCAAGCCAATAAATCAAACTAGAATTGTCAAACAGAGCATATGTGGACTCATCCTTGCTCGAAATAACTGCGATGCAACTTCTTCGTGAGTCACGTGTTCGGGATCAATATAATCAATATGCACATCCAACATTATCGCATTTTCTATGGATCTGTATCTGTACATCATTCTATTTTGTATGTTCACGAAGGAACGATTGCACACTTTTGTGTAGTTCGTCCCTTAATGGTGAGATATGCTAACTTGTGTTCACATTGTGTCTAAAGAGATCATTCTATGATGAAAGAACATCAATGAAGTTCAATTAGTAGAGTCACTATATCCTGTTCTTTAGAGAACTATAGTTCGACAGTTATAAATCATCAACTGCACTGTGTAGAGACAATATCTTTTTTCTTGTGTCTTCATTGAATAATGCGTATTTAATCCAATGGAATATGCATCATGATATGATTTATTCTTGAAGGATTCGAATTTTTTTGAAAAGAAAAAAACAAGTAACCCAATTTTATCCTAGTTGCCACAGAAAAGTTTCAGCCCGATAGGCTGAGATTTCGAAAGAGCAGTAAGAGAAATGCTGAAGGTCATTTTTAGCGCTTACAACTTCAATATCTCCTGGAAGGAGGCATCATAGAATTTTGTGCCTGTGACAATAATTGATATTTGCTTTGAATACTTTTTTCGCAGTGTTCAATTTATCATGTGTTGAGATGAGCATTGTTTATGTTTACATTTTTAACTAATTTTAATTATATATTTTGTCAAGATTTTAGATTTCGATATATTTTTCAGGGTTCGATGACTAGAATCGATTCATTGATGAATAAAAATAGATTTTTCAATCGAGAGAAGATCTGCCATTCAAATAGCTTTCGAATAATGTAATGAAAATCAAAGCGTAGCCGAGCCCATCATAGTTCTGAAACTTTCTTCAGCTTAATTTGAAGTGTAGAAGAGTTTCAAAACCCAGATCCTCAGTTATCACTCGAACTTGTTCGCAAATATTTATTCAAGCGAATCAACCGATTACCATCCATGGATTCTGCTAGTTCGACCACAGAACAATGACTGTTGTAACTTTCATGGTGTGAGTATGAGTGTGGAGGGTGGGTGTGGGTGAGTTTTTTCTTTTGTGACGACCATGCTCACACCCACAACCAAGCCACGCACTCACACCGATACCCACAGCCAAACTATACACCCACAACCAAATCACACACCCACATCCACACCTACACCCACACCCACACCCACACCCACACCCACACTCATAACCAGACATCTACATCCTCATTCGTGTACAGAATTCTTCGTTTCGGATTTTGAGATAATATCTGTAGAACCGATATATTCAGCGATTTTGAAAACAACTCTTTCTACCATTTGACTGTGGTTCATATGGTCAGAGACTCTTGGCTTTCCACTCTCGTGTTTCCGATAGACGATTGCATCCTCGTTGGACTTGACATATGACTCCTATGCTAAAGTGTCGCCCCATCGAAGCAGTCACAACAGCGCCTTCAATATCACTGTTATTTTGATTCGATGCCGTTTTTAGCGATGGGGAGGACAAAAATCATGAGAACCCGTTTGACATTTTGAAGGATGACAAAACAAAATCAAACATTTGGACGTTTGCTACACTGAAAAATGATGATGGCTGGTTTTGTCGTTCTTAAGATAATAGAACTATATACTAGATGGCTGTAGTCATATCAGAGTGCTGTTAGGATTTTTAGCAAGCACGTATTTGGTATATAGTGGGCGTCCCACGTTTTATTGTTTTTTTGAAGGAAGGTAACGAGAAGAATCAACAAGTCAGTGTTGGACGTCAACCAGACTGTCTGCTTTATTTCGATAGACTTTTTGTCGAAGGCGAGCTTCGGCAATACCATAGAAAACCATGCTCACTGTCAAATAGACGAGGAGGACAATGAGCGTGAGGCGAATGGTGACATAGCTGGCACACTAAAAAGAATTTGAAAGCGTTCCGTAGGAGAATGAACGGGATTGGAAAGAAACTTACGCTGTAGGCTGTAAGAGAACCGACCGCTTTCCAGAGGCGATATTTAG